CAACTTAGGGGTTATTTGCTTAAAGGGTGAGGATCTGAGTGTTGGCTATAAGGGAGGTTGTCCCACTATGGATATATGTATTGGTGCCCATGGTACAGTGCAAAAGGAATTCTGTTTATGTCATGCTCTTTTGGAGATAATCAGCATCAATAGTTCTTTCCTAATTTCTGTGGGATATATGTTGTTTGGGCTACCTGGTGAAGTGTTACTCCAGAGCCTTGAAGTCAAATTTTAATCCTTTCAAGGAGTGAAGTCCTTACAAACTACTGTTACAGGATGGTTTTATAAAAAGTAAATTTTGTTACATTAAAAAAAAGATAAATCCTCCTTTGGCTTTTGTCCCAGCGATGCTGTGATGCTTACAGCTGGAAAACCATCCTACTTTCTCTGCATTTATGTTTATCTATTGGAATGCTTTCCATGCAATCCGTAACCATCAGATTCTTCATGTGTTTTTTGGCTGTTCTTTCTAGCCCACAACCACAAGCTCTTTATGGCTAAGATTGGGTTGGTTGGTGGTTTTTTTTTTGTACAGCTGGGAGTGCATGGGTAAAGCTTTGCAAATAAGGATCAGTGATTCTAAAATCAAATGTCAAAATGATAAATGAAAAGGTCAAGTGCTGGGATTCAGATAAAGTTCAGCAAAGCCTAAACTTGAAGTATATGTATAACTGAAGTTTACTTAAAATACCTTAAAACTGAACTTGAAAAGCTTGGAAAAACTCAAACACTTAAAATGGAAGTCTATTTAGTGCATGAGGGAGGGGGAAAGAGGTAGGTAGGCTTTCCCAGGCATACCACATGGATTAAATGCCCCTCATCCTTCTACTTGTTTCAGTTCCGGTCAGTTGTTGGGGGTGAGATTGGTTTTTCTCCTTTCTGCCCATCCTGTAGATCTTCTTCTGATAAAAAAAAAAAAAAAAAAAAATTGTTAATGGACAACTCTTGAGAGTGGCACAAGGTTTCCTTTCTTACATATGTGTGGTATAAGACCAGTGCCAAACAGAGCAAGTCTGAATGGGGAGCGATGGGAAAATGGAAAAGCTATTTTGGCATTCCTGTCTACACAGTGTTCAAAGTCCTTCAGCATTACAGCCTGTGCGTGGGCTGGGTTGATCTGAAGGACCACTGACCTACCTCTCATATTTGTCCTCAAAATACATACTTTGCCTGCAATGCCTAGAGGAAATAAGCCACCTAATTATGGTTAAATGAAATAGTAGCTGGGTATAGTGGAGGAAAAGGATTTACTGCTTCAGCACTACGTGCTTGTATCCCTTCCTACTGCCTGTGCTTGTTTGTAAACTCTTTAGGGCAGAAGCTTTCTTTGCACTGACATTTTTACAGCACGTAACCAATGGAGCCCTCATCCTGGATGAGTTTTTGGAAACCACAGTAAAGCAAATAAATGCTTTTTTCCTTTCTTTCTCTGTCAGTTACCATACCTAGAGAAATGAAGAACAGTCGTTTGTCCTTACCCATGAAATTTTGTGCAAAGTAACATTGAAGTTCCATAGAAGAGACTTTAATACAACTCACTGTATTAATTCTTTAATGCTTAACAGAGCAGAAAGGTATCCATCCCATTTGGAGAAGGCTTCAGTAGCTTTCTGTTTTACTGACCTGTGCAGATTTTTATAGTGTCTAAAACCACTTTGCTTTGAAGAGCTTGAACCTGGATTTTCATTTCATGTCCTACTTTCAAATTTGCAAATGCAAGGGATTTCAGTGTGGTATCCTAAGGTGGAAAACCTTATATAATTCCAGAAACATTGCAATATAATTGTCTGGATGTATATAGAACATGTGATAAACCTCCCAGGCATTGAAATTCAAAAGATTCAGCTATTTGAAAGAAATAATATCAATGTTTTAAGTACAGACAACTGTTCCTGGAGCAAAATCTACTGGCTGCCATGAGGATGCCCATAGCACGACTTGATGTGCTGAGTGGGAGCTGGGCAAGGGAGGTGGGATTTATATTTGCCTGTTCTTGTTGGTTTGGCTTTCAGAGCAGTTCATGTGTAGTCCAGATCCTGCTGCCATAGTAGGGCCAGTTATTCTCACTGCAGTCTACCACATCTGAAAGAGCCAGTTCTTCTTGCCCAAAAAGATAGAAATTGCTTTCTGGGGCTCATAGAAGATGTTGGCTTGAAGGATGTGCTTCTCTAATGGTAGGAGAAAACACAGTTTAACCTCTTTTCTACTGTGGTTTTTTTTTTCCTTCCTCATTTTTACACCTGAAGTAAATTGACTATATTAGGGTCCTTATGAATCTTGATTTGGTTACGACCATTATGATCTGCCCTTTGTTTTCCCTTTTCTTACTGGATTAAAGTTTTTTGAAGTTTTTCAGGGGCTCTTCCCTACCTTCCCACTGGTTGGAGAAGTCCACTTGTCTAGAAACCTAAATTTAGTCCTTTGTTGACACAGGGTAGTCATTCAGGCTTATCTGTCACTCAGTTTTTCTCCTATGTTTTTGCCAAAGCACTTCCTAACAAGATAAAATATCTTCCAAACCTGCCTGTCTCCTTGCAAACTAAGTTTGCATACTTAGAAAAATTGGAATGACATGTGCATTATGAACTGAGAGATCATTTTAAGTTACTGATTTAAGGGCCAACTGTTAAGATAAGGGGGAAGAAAATCTTCCTTCAGGAAGTATTTCCAGGATTTTTTGACAAGACCAAGTGTTCAGCAGTGTCACCTTATTTTTCTGCTGTTGCTGTGCACCGCTCTTGCAAAAAAAACCCAACAAAAACTGGTCATGAGTTTGAACTCACAGTCCTCCCCTTTTGTCCTGGGTGAGAAGTGTTGATATTCTCCCTTCCTTACACATCAAGTATGTGCTGCTTTTGGACTCTATGACTTGTGGCACTTTCATTGCAGCCAAAACCACCTCTACGGAGGAAAGAGGTGACCCAGTGGGAGTGTTTAATGCCACCCCATCCTGTTCTGTACATGTCTTTCTCCTCTTTCTCATTTCTCTGTCTACTCAGCTGCTCCCAAGCATCTGCCAGGAAGGTGATGGAGCAGAACAAAGCAATCTGTTCTTCTGTCAGATGGCAAAGCTCAGAGGATGCCATCTCACTTTATTCCTTGAATTACAGGAACCTGAAGGCTCTGTTGAGGGCATGCTCCTCTGCAGCTGATGTTTCTTAGAGATCTTTGCTGCCTTCAGGGCAACCTGTCTGAGCTAAACAGCACAGGAAAGCTCCTTTTACTGGTTTCCACCAATGGTCTTGAAAGGAACATTGATATTAATACTCATATTGTCTGCTCCATAAAACAGGACCATATTGCTCTGTTAAACCGTAAGTCTGAATTTTGCTTCCTGAGAGAATGAGACTTTCTCAAAATTCAAAAGTGAAGGGAACTTAAAAGAAGTTTTTCCATCCATGGTTTGATTTCCATAAAATAAAATAATAAATGGGTAATGTTTTTGTGCTCCTGTTCAGGATACCCAGGTTCAGAACAGGAGAGAGAGGCTCAAGTAGGTCATGAGGGAGATTTTTTTTTTTTTATTGTTGTGCCCTCAGTAGGACTGGAATTCAGGAGCACGTTGTAGGGCACAAGTGAGGTTTGCTTGCAGAGCTGCCCTTGTAGCTCACCTGCCCAAATGACAGCTAGTGCTACTAATCCCTTACTTTGATTATTAAGTCAGTCTTTGTAAGAGTCATAACCATCTTGAGGCGTTCTTGCTGCACGAAGGGGAATCTTGACGTTGAAAATAGAAATGATCTGGACTAGATTTAAAACTACTGCAAAATATTTGTCCATCCACTGGCTGCCTCAGAGGACCTTTTGCAGAGGGGCTGTTTTGATGCACAAGCTTGGCAGGTCACTCTGGCATTTTAAAACAACTGGTACAAAAACATTTTGTAAAATAAGGAGAGCGTGTGAAGGAGCAAGGAGAGCTGGAATCAGCTAAGAAAACTTAGGCTGTGGTTTCATTTCTGTCTCACTGAAGGCAAACTGTGGGATTTGGACAGGAGCAAAGTATGAACAAGATCCTGTGTTTTTTGTGTGAAAAGCAGAGTGGTATTTCATCTATTTTAAAAAGGGTTTGAAGTATTTGCAGAGCATTACCAGTACTGCAGACATGAGTAACAGCAGAAATTCCATTTTTAATTGTTTTGCATTCCTTCATCTTAGGATCCTGGATCTCTTAATACACACATTAAATGAAAACTTAGAGCTTTTGTTTAGGGTGAATATTTTCTTCTGCAAGGGAGGAACTAATGCAAGAGAAACTCTGGCTCAACTGATTAAAAGCTCAATACAGGAAACTTTCACCATGTTGCAGAGAAATTCCAGAGACAGACCTGAAAGAGGAAACAGTCTTGGCTAAAATCACTTTTGTTGGATGAGTAATGGTAGTTTTTGATTATGAAAAATGAAGAATCGTGAGCATCATCTATTTTGGAAACTTTTTTTTCAGTTTTACAAGGAGCATTTTTGATATTTTTTTAATAGTTTTGAAATGTTTTTTCAACAAATGATCCAGTGAAAGGGGTGAAAAATGGCACCAAAATCACTTGGGCAAGGTAGTAGGTGGGTTTCTTGAGTGGCAGAGAGAACTACAAATGTTTACAGATGCTTTTTTGTGGGGGAGTGAGGGAATTGGTGGAAGGATGGCAATTAAAGATTCATAATTGTCATAAAAAGCAGATATGAGGGTTGCTAGGGGGACAGATGAAATGAGATGGACTTGAAGGGGAAGTGAATTTCACTTGGATATCCTTACCACCAACAGTGCAGATGGTTCAGATGAGCACTTCACTAATTATTTCTGAGTTGTCTTTGCTTAATGTGATGACAAATTTAAGAAAAAATAAAAAATTGACAGATTCTTGTTGATCCAAAGGGGGACGATAAAAAATTGCTGTGTACAAGTGATTATTGGAAGACGTAGTGTGTGGATGCTAAAGCAGTTTATAAAGAAGAACCTAAAATGTTATGAAAAATAACTTAAACTTGCTTTTTCTTTTTTGTTTCAGTGTTCTGAGGTCATGAAACTTAATCCACAGCAAGCTCCATTATATGTGAGTACCAATTAAAATACTTTCTTTTCCGTTTTGTACTATTCACACGAAACGCTTCCCACCATCTTTTTGGAGATGCTGCTCCTTTTCTCTTTGCTCCCCGAGGAGGTTATTTATATTAATTCAGTTGCAAATGCTCAGTGATAAAGCCCAGGTAAGTCACAGAGCTCCTCTGGCTTTCCAGCAGGCTATTTTAAATAACTTTTGAGCCACACAATGCTGTCTCTGTGCAGGTATCCCCCGCTCTTATTTTCTTCCCCTCCCCTGGAGCTCGTGGCTGCGCTCGTGTGACTTGATGTGTTGAGAGGTGGTAAGAAGAAATTGCCTGTGTGGAAAACGGGGCATCCCAGCGTGCAGTGCTTGCCCACTGTGGTAATATTTTTTCTGGTTGGGGTTTTTAAACGTGGCAGGGAGGAACTGGAAGCAGCGCAGGGCTCGGCTGCCTGCAGCAGGGTATGGTTTACGTCAGCCTCCTGGAAGCTCATACCCTCCATGGCTCCATTAACAAGGAACAAGCTTCCTCTCGCTCTTGAATAGCAGCTTTGTTGCAGAACGTGGGGACTGTCAAATTAGACCTGGGATTGCGGGGGTGTACGAATTTGTGTGTGTTAAATTTGTGCCAGAGCCGCCAGCCAGGTCTGTAACTGTTTGCTTTCCACGTTGCCTTGCCCCGCTCGGAGCAGGGTTAGCTGCTGAAGATTATGGCCCTGCCCAAAGACCTCGCCAGCAAGGGCAGAGCTGGATGCAAGGATGGAAAATTTGAAGGGAAAATTGCTTGCAAGTGTGGCTTTTAAAGGGAAGGAAGAAGAAACAATCAGGACTGTTAGTAGACCTGTATCTTGGAGAGTGTTGTGTGTTGTAAATAATGGATCATATTGACCTTTAATGCCATGGAAGCTTTAAATTTTGCCTACTTTTAATTACCAACTGGAAGTCTCTTTGGAATTTATTCTCTACTTATTGTGCTAAGTCTTGTGCTTGAAGCAAGATGAAAACGCTGCACAGTGTGACCTGACTTTGGGAGGATGCTTTCCTGCAGCATGCCATATTCTGTATTTTGAAACTAAATGTTGCCTGAATTTCATTAAATCTCAAGCCTATTGAATGCACCTTGACTTTAAAGAAACTTAAGACACATTAAAAGAGAATGAAATTTACGTTCAAATATACGATAGACTTGCTACAGTAGAAACATGTGAATGGTGAAATACAGGATAAAATTATCCTCGTGTCATTTGAACAGTGTGTGACTTAACTAATCAGGAGGCTTTGTTTTCTCAGTCTTATCTACTGAATGAGTTTATTTTCCCACTGTTTTGTGGGGGGGGGTTATTTAATGTGTAACACTGGAGTGGTACACTTAGAAGTCCTCATCCCTATATGATAGTGAGAACTGGGCTGAAATCAAATGTAGCCCGGTGTAAAATAATGACTGTATGGCACTCGATATAGTGTTTCTTTGCAATGCAAATAAGTTGGTGACAACAATTATTAATACATCAGTGACTCTCTTTTCTCTCTTCCTTCTTCCCCCCTGACCAGGTGTATACCCAAATCAGCTCCCTTTCAAAACAGAACATTTTGGTAGCTTAAGGAAATTTGAAAAGTCAATATTTAGTCATTCTGTTTGCTCTCAGTATAAATGCTTTGTACATTTTAATATCAGTTTTGTTTTCCTTGTGTTGCTAATTGACAGCATGTCTGAGAGTTGTTAGGTCTGAGCAGAATATAAAGAATAATGCATCTTCCTGGTAATTTTTGTAAAGATAGACAACAAGAGTCTTCACTGTTCTGTTCTTGACACCTTTGCATTACATCCTTTGCACTCTCCTTTTTTAAGCCACCTAGATTTAGGATTACATAATTTTGTTTATTATTTTACTAAATCTTGCATGAGTTTAATCCTGAAAGCTCCATTAGATAGCTGGTTTTATCAGCAACAGCATTACTGAGATCCTTTTAGGAGGAAAAGTAAAAGATGTCTCTAGTTCAGTTCCTGGAGGCCAGTTAGAGAGTTAGAGCATATTTTATCCTATCTGCTAATCACCTCTTTGCCCAGACTAATGCTTTATAATTAAGAAAAGGGATTTGGGAGCCACAGTGTACTTGGGACCAAAGTTTTGTGGGTGATGGAAAAGGTTGTACTTTCAAATACACACTAATAGGGGGATAGGGATTCTTGTTTTATTCAAATCAATGTGCGTGAATAGAAAGAAGACCATCTGCTGCATCCTTCTTGGTAGTTTCTTTTGGCTTCTTGGACTTTTATTTACCTCTTCTGTAAAAGTCATCTGTCCTACCCCTGCAGAGCTTGTGACCACTGGAGGTCACAGCCCGTAATGATGATACTACGGGCCTTTTAAGTGTGAAGATTAAGAAATAAGGTGGAAAACACATCCTGTAATAATAACAACAAGTCTCATGTTTTTGTGATTAAAAAAGTCTCATTTAAGCTTTGCTTGATTGTTCTCTGGTTAATGAGGTTGCCAGGAACTGGAGCTCAGCATTGTATTGCTGCAGGTTTGGGCTGGAACCACAGCTCAGCCTTTGCTCTGCCAACAGCTGTTCCCAGGAGCCAGGTCCCCCCAGGAGCATCGTATCTTGTCACCTAGAGCTGTTTGTTACCTCCCTTAATGCCTTCTAACGAGCTCCCCTGGCCCGGGGTGCTGCTCACAGCAGCACAGTCATGGGGCAGTGGGGCTTGTGCCAGGAGAGATAGGGCAAGGGAGCGTTCCTCAATATAGCCCGAGTGTGATACCAGCAGTGCTCACACAGGCTGTAGGTCAAGCAGCTCTCCCATCCTACCACTGTCAACACGTCATTGCCTTTAGAAAAGGCAGTGTGACTTTGCAGAGCCTGTGGCTGAATATTGTAGGGTGAATAAAGAAATGAAGATATTCAAACCAGTATCTTTAAGATGCACTGATTTCTTCAGCTGCAAAAAAAAGATCCATGTGGCTGGACAGTCCTTTGGTTGCCTGCCCTCAGACTGCAGTTGGGAATGTCTTTCTTGATACACGGATACTGGTTTAAATCCAAAACTAACTTTGTTCACATCCCTCTTGTATTTCAGTGCTACCCTGTTGCTGCAGAAACTCTTACCAGGCACAGCATAGTGGATGAAGGGTAGTGTTTCAGACCTTATTTCTGATGTGCCTGGGACTTTGTGTTCAGGAAGTCCAGGGTCTCAAAGCTGAATGACCAAGCTATTTGCTTGCTATCAGTACTTGAGCGGAACAGGAGGGTTGCAGGAGACTTTGGTTGATGGGAGGTGGGAAGTCAGGAGCTTCAGTTTTGTTTGTTTTCCTTAAGTATTTGCAATCACCTTGCTGATCATCTTTTTATAAAATGTTCTCTCTCTCTATCATCAAAAGTCAGAATTTCAACTTCAGTATTGTAAGGTGCTTCCTAGCTCTTGTCAGTGTGTTATTGCAATATCCAGATCATCAAGGAGTATGGAAAAAAAGGATGAGAAAGGCTCTAAACAATGGAGGTTTGTTAGTAAGTGACCATTTTATTGTTGTGATTCACTAACCTTTCTGTTAATAGATGAAATAGTATAAATTAGTCACTTAGCTTAAACTCCACTATTGCTAACATCCAGGCAAGAAAATGGGAGAGAGCTTTGCGAAGGTGAAGTGTTGATCTTTTTAGAAACATTGTCATTAATTGGGAGTCCAGCAGAGTATTCAGCAGGAGATTTAATTACAAAAGGATCAAGGTTTCTGACAAAACTGTAATAAATATTGAGTGCATGTGAGGGAATTACCAAGGTTGACTCTTCAGCTAGAGTCCTGAAAATTGTACTTCAGAAGTGATGTGCCTGGCTTCTGATTTCAGCTTCTGCTGGCTGTGGGGTCTTTGTAGTGTTATTGATCAGCTTTCTAACCCAGTCACATCTCTTGCCCCTCTGAAATCAATGTTGATTTGTTTTTTGGTTTGTTTGGTTTGGCTTGTTTTTTTTGTGTTTTCCCAAAAAAATAACCTGAGAATAGTATTAGGCATGAATGGTTTGGAAAAGGACTGGGGTGACATGAAGGGAACATGTTGGGAAACATTAAGCTCGTCTACTCTTGATTACAACCAAGGCTACAACCTTAGATCTGCCTTTAAGACAGGAGTGTTTTTTTCATGGTGATAATGATCAGTGGGTGTGAAATGGAAAAGATTAGCAGCTGGAGAAGGATGATGTATTGCTACAAACTTTTTTCCTTTTTCCTTTTAGATTAAAAGGAACAAACTTGTTTTAAATCACAGCACTCCTCCTCTGCGTGGTTTGCCTAAGGTGTGCCCACGTTATTTGGAGTGACAAACCTAAATGTGTCATAACTGGTGATTGCATGAGAGGGCAAACACTTAATTGATAAAAATGCTGCCACTGACTTTGGTCTTTAATCAGGTCTGTGGATGGAGTCTCTTGTCTAAACTGCCACTTAGGAGCTGTGTAACCTGCAGAGTTTCTCAAGGAGACTTTTTGATAGAGATGAGAGCTCCCACTTTCAAGGCAAAATGTCACGCAACTTAATGAAGTATGAACTTCAAAAGGCCCAGAAAGAATGCATTGACCCTCTCTTAATATAACCTAGGGTTTGGGTACAGTAGGTCCTCTCTTCTGTTAATGAATGAACTGCTCCTGTAAATTTCCCAGTGTGTCCTACTTTAATCTAAAATGGAAAAAACCGATAATACTTATAATAATCTTTTACCCACTTACATATTCATATCAAATGATGTTCTACTGAAGTGCATGGTTTATTCCTGAGAAAAACAATTGTGATACCCTCTGATGTTTGTGTTTTAAGAAAAAAACCTAACCTCTTTTGAATAAATATTAAAGGATTGAAGTAAAAAAGGTTCTCAATACAGAGAGCTTGAGGCTTGTGGCAGCAGTCTGTCCCAAGTGCTGTGGCCCCCTGAGTGCTGAGAGGTGTTGCACTTGCATGTGCCTGACATCCAGATTCTTGCTGTTTCTGAAACCATGTCGGTGTCGCTTGTGCACT